GAACTCCATCCCAAACAGGGCTGATGTCTCTGCTGAGCAGGAATCCATGAACTCCATCCCAAACAGGGCTGATGTCTCTGCTGAGCAGAACCCCATGAACTCCATCCCAAAACAGGGCTGATGTCTCTGCTGAGCAGAACTCCATGAACTCCATCCCAAGCAGGGCTGATGTCTGTGCTGAGCAGGAATCCATCCCCTGCCCCTCACTCTGAGCTGCCCCTGGCACGGCAGAGCAGCTGTTTTTGTACTTTATATAACATTGAATCTTGTACAACCACGGCCGCTCCCACAGGGTAAACAGAGTGACTGAGATCTCCTCTCCAAACACCCCTACCCTGATTTCATCTCCTCCCTGCTGCTGGTGACTCAGGCTGGCTCTGTTTGGCCAGCACGACTCGGTGTTCAGCCCCACTGGAGCTGTGCATTTCACATTTGACACAAGTTGAACCTTGCAGCACCAAGGAGGCCTTTCTGAAGGAGGGTTGGAGTCTGTTCTGTTTTCTAGACAGCTCTCAAAATGGTCCAATCACTGACCATTCACAGCAGTAATTCACTTCAGCTTTTATTTTCCTTCTGGACATTACAGTGGCACTGAGGGTCTCGGTATGTGAGAGCAGAACTTTCAAGGTTGTAACAGATGTTAATGAAACAGTTCCCCTTTAATCACRAGATTAAAGATATTTTAATGCAATTAAAATAATGTCACATTCCCTTTTCTGGTATAAATGGCAGGGAAGGCAACRAGGGCACTTATTTCTATCTGTGTGGGATGGAAGGATCTCAATGGAAAGCCAAGAAAAGCATCGCAGGGTGTGAGTCAGTGCTGAGCACAGGATCCTCAGCCAGGAACAGCTCGGAGCAGGAAAACATAGAAAGCAAATAGGAAACCTAAACCCAACTCTTGTGTGTGGATATGCCATTCCAGCAGGGAGTCTGAGATTTTATCTTTATTTTCTTCAAATTCGCCTGAGGTTTATGGTAATTTCTGGTTATTTTATGGTAATTTCTGGTTATTTTAGGGATTAAAAAACCAAATAAATTAGCTGTGGTTAAAAATATGTGTCAACACTTGCTGGATTTTATTGTCCTGTGAATTTATGTTTTCTTTCTAAGACTGATTTATTCCATGGTTTTATTTGCCTCATATTGGAAGGAAAACCATGCCCAAAAATACATTGGGGGAGCTGCATAAACGGGAGCTCTGACCAAAGTCTTATAAATATTTCCAAAGTCAGGAGAGCACAAGTGTGCCCCGCTGCCAGGCCTGGCTCTGAGCTCTGCCCCAGCCTGTCCTGGCACACACAGGGTGACCCTGGGGCACGGGGCAGGATCACTGTACCCTAAAATTAACTGGGGATTGGTGCCCAGCCTGGCACAAATGCCATTCACACAATGCTCTGCCAACACTGTGAAAACCCGCTGCAGAATCTTGCTGKGGTTCTTAGAATGGCCCTGATCCTAATTTTGGGTGAACTTTTTTTAAATGCTGCCATCAGTGACTGTTGAGGAACTGTATAAAAATGTGGTGAGAAATAGCTCTAAATTGTAGGAGTAGACTAAATGTACTCTTCTACACATGCRAATTAATTTATTTTAAAATAAATGTAGCACTTGGTGGGCAGCTCAGGAGGCAGGGACTATTTTTCAGTGTGGAGATGAAAAGGAGCTGTAATTATTTTACAGACAGATTCTGGCATGCCCTGGATTGGAAATGGTTACTCACCACTTTGTCTTGCTCTCTTCTTTAGGTAAGGGCTTATCCCCTCCTAAAAGTGATTGATTTGCCCTGGGGATCCAGCCCAGAATGGCCCTGATCCAAATGTGACTGATGGCCTTGTCCTAAAGAGAGGGAAAAGGGGCTTGGGAGCATCTCAGCCCAACCCTTCCCTGGCCCAGGGGACACTCAGCCCAACCCTTCCCCATTCAGGGGACACTCAGCCCAACATTCCCAGTGTTGGGGACACTCAGCCCAACCCTCCCCTGGCTCAGGGGACACTCAGCCCAACCCTCCCCAGT